AAACCTGGTGCTGCAGCAGCACCCCTCCCCCTCTCCGACTCCCCTCCCCCAGCCCAGCGTCCCCACCACCACCACCACCACCACCCCCTTCCCGCGCGCAGGGTAGACTAAGGTCTCCCACAGAACCACCAAGGAGCGCCTCCTGGCGGTCTGACCAAAATCTCAGCTGTATGCAACCTGCCGGACTCAGCATCTTACAGGCACAGGGCAAAATATCTACACACACGCCCGTACACTCACTCACGCAGACTCACATGATGCCTAAGTTGAGAGTTAGACACACAGGATCATACTTGGAATGCATACACTCTCTCACATACTTTCCTGCACACACCGTTAAATTCAACCCATCGAATATGTCCTAAGGCTCTACCATGGACAAGAAGATAGGAGAAATTCATAGTTCAGAGGGATCAGGAAGGGAAAGACATAGCTGGACAGAGTATCCAAGCTGAAGGCAGGCACGGCTGCCTTAGAAAGTACCATGGGTCTCAGAAAAGGAAGCCACCATCACATCTCACCAAGGAAATACCAGAAATGTCATGGAGGGAGTGATGTTTGACAAGGACCGTTGAAAATTAATCCTGCTGCTGCTGCTGATGTTGATGATGATGATGGTGACGATAGCTAATATGTCCTGAGCACCTACTATGTGCAAAGTGGACTGAGCACTTTATTTGCATCAACTTACTTAATGCTCACAACATGCCTTGGGCATAGGTATTGTCTCCATTTTACAGGTCAGAAAAAATTAAGTCATTTGCTCAAGGTCACTTAGTAAGAAGTAAGGATGAGAAGTGGTAGAGATGATGTTAAGAGGTTCCCAGGCTATGGAAGTAGGATGAACAAATTCTCAGTGGTTTTCAGAAAGAAAATGTGTTAAGGTCAAGCTGAAGCAGAGCCACATGTGCAAGGTATGGGAAATGAATGGCAAACAGGTGCTAGAGCTCGCAGGACTTGAAGGTCAGTACAGGACTCTGGTATCTTTAACAAGGCAATGGGGAGCCATTGCAGGGTGTGTTTGCCTGAGCATGCCTGTTAGGAAGATTAATTCAGAAGGCCGTGTGGAGGATGGTTGAGAGCTAGGGAAGGGACAGATTTAGAGGTTATGCATAAATCCAGAACCTCACGTCCCTGAACCAAGGCATTAGCAGCTTCAGGAGAAGAGGGTATGGATACAGGGAGAATTGTGAAGCTGCAGTCTGCGAACTCTCCCTCAGCACTGCATCTCAATCGTCAATCATAACTTACCTATCTATTCCTTGTGTGGTCTTTTGTCCAGTGTCAGCCTCCCCAGTTGACTGAATGCTGGGAGACCAAATGCTGAATACTCTTGTTCCCTGCCATAGTCAAGGGCTGGCAGAGCCAGTGCTCAAAGAATATTTGTAGTGTGAGGGAGGGAGGAAATGACTGAATGAATGAATGAATGACTTAAGAATTCGCTGACTCTGGGGTTTTCAGTCGAGGGAATTGGAACAAGACATGCTGGAGGAAAAGATGGTTGGGTCAGGGAGATAAGAATGAGAATAATCTTTGGACAGATTGAATTTGAAATTCTCTATGTCCAATATGCAGAAGAGTTAAATGTACAGGTTTGGAGAGAGAGAGGGAGATCTGTGACTAAAGAAAAGCATAAATCAATAGGGTCAGGTGAGATTCCCAAGGGAGACAGTGAGGGCCTGTGGGAGGGGGAGAGATGGCCTGGGGAACATCTACATTTTAAAGGAAAGGAGTCAGCAAAGGAGAGAGAGAAGGCCTGTCTGAGAAGTGGGATGAAGACCACAGGAGTGCTGTGTCATGGAATTCAGGAGATTCAATAAGAAAGCTGAAAAAGGGGGGCAGGGTAGGCGGTCATCATCAGCATCCTACCCTACAGAGGGATGGAGGAGGAGGAAGGCTATGGAAACACTCCAGTTACAAGGCCTCTAGTGACTCTGACTGTGGCAGTTTCTGTAGCAGTGCAAAGGCTGCCCATCTCTGATCTCACAGAACCAAAGGGCTTGATGGGGACCTGAAGAAATGGTGACACCAAGTGGAGATTCGTTCATCACAAAGTTAGAGGGCAGAGATTAAGGGAAAAGTGGAGTTCAGGGCAGGAGTTGGAGAAGGAAGGGGCTAGAAGAGACCTATGGAGAAGAGATTGAAAATGGGGAGAGGCAGTGATGAATGGAGCAAGGAGGAGGTCTGAGAGGAAGTCCGGAGCACAGGCAGGATTAACTTCAGCAAGGAGGAGGCGCTTTTCCTTAGGAGCTAGGAGGTTGCAGGAGTTCACACTAGCTGGCTTTAACCATTTTGATCACGACAATAGCCACCATTTATTGAGCCCCCGGCATGTGCTGAACACATTCCATTGGGTATTTCTAACCCTTTGAAGTGGTATTATAATCCTCACTGTATAAAGAAGACTGGAGACTCAGAGAGGTTAACCCATGTTTGCCAAATGAATGCAGGGAGGCAGAGGAGTCTGGTGAAGGAGATGGTTTGGCGATCAAAAGATAGCATGCTTGATCTGAGTGGTGCCCATGGGACATCCAGGGGAAGGTGTCCCAGAGGAAAGTGAATGTATTTCTCGACTTATTACCTATCTCACACTCTCTGTCTCTCTCTGTCTCTCTCTCTCTCTCTTTCTCTCATACAAACACACACCACACACACCCCAGAATGTATGAGGGGAGGACTTTGTCTTATTCATTATTATATCCCCAGTGCCTAACACACTGCCTGGCACATAGTAGATGCTTAGTTAATACTTATTAAATGAATGAACACAAGACATCTGGGTGTCATTAAGACCCCGAGAAAGGATGAGTTTCCTAAGGAACGTTTAGAGAGAGAAAGGAGGCGGGGGCTGAGGTCAGAGTCCTGGAAAACACACTTAAGAGGTGAGAGGAAGAAGAGAGCCAGCAAAGCAGGAGAGGGGAGGGTAGAGGAGGGCAGAGGGAGTAGCAGGAGAGGGGAGAGAGCAGTAGGTGAGGAAGAGAAGAGAGAACGGAGCCACAGACCCCAGAGAGGAGAGGGGTTTAAGAATACAGCGGGGTAGCCAGCAGTTCAAATGCTCCAACAGAAGGGCTGAGAAAAGGGCCCCAAAGGTCATCTGGTCCAGAGAGAGACTTGCCTGGGCAGCCAGTTAGGGCTGAGGCTGCACCTAAAGCCCAGGTGCCCTGTTCACCACTCTGAAACATCTCAAATTAGAGTCCTGCCTCCTCCACCACCACCTGGCAATTCCTTGAGCTGCATGTAAACACAGAAGAGGAACCCAGTAGTTCCTGAAATCATTTGGTTATTAAATTGTACATTTCCTTTCTTAGAAACACAGTCTGTTTACAGTGTTTTGAATCAAATGGAAACGATTGACTGAGCTGAGCCTCCTTCAAACTCAGAAGTCTGGGTCAGAGTGGGTTCTCTTGCATTTCCTGGAAATCCTGTTCCTTTTTGGTGTGTCCTCATAAATGTGCAGTTAGCAATGGCTAACATTACACACCAGGCACTTGACCAGTATCTCCTCTTCTCCTTCAAACATCAATATATGAGCAGGCTTAATACTCCCCTGTTTGCAGGGAACAAACCAAGCTTTCCCCGGGGGCCACAGCCAGTGAGTATTGGAGCCAGGACTTCCAACCAGGTGGTATGATCGTGTACAAGTCCTCAAATAAACCCCAGGACCCCATTATGGAAAGATCTCAGTCTGCTGATATGTTTTCTCATTTTGAAGGATTTGAGAGGAATCCATAACCAACCAGCCAGGGACCTTGAACTCAACCTGGTTGCAATATCTGGCCTGGCTTCTCTGCCACCATTTCTCAAGACCCCTTTCCTTCTCAGCAAGTCATAAACACTCCAAAGCTGTGTGGGATGCAAGGCCTTCATGAGTAGACCTAAGCTCACTTGACCGTCAAGCCACATCACAGTTTGGGTAGCTCGTGGCTGTCCCCATCCATCCCCTCAAAGGGGATTTGTACTGGCTTTGCCTATGAGAGAACCAGTGAAACTGAATGGCTAAAATAGAAAGGAAATCTCTAAGAGTTGGAGGATCAGGGTTCAAAGTCTCAGGAGTATGGGAGGAACAGGGTAAGAAGGAGGCTGAGGGTGGAGGGGGAGGCTGCAGGCTTTCTACCCCTCTCCCATCAGTATTGGAATAGTTTCATTTTTATGTATTTTCCATATTGATATTCCCATTAAGATTTTAGAGAGAAACCTTCTGAGGCAAAAAAATAATAAAAAACATAATAAAAACTGAAAGTTGGTGATTTAGGGAGACAAGAAGGAGGACTAACATAAGCTGAGTGCTTACGAGGCCCATGCTTGGCACTTTAAAGGCCCTAAGCCCTGAGAAGATTATCATGCTGCCAACAACCCCTCATGTGTAATCCAAAATAAAAATCAATATCAAGCTATAAAACACACAACCTACACGTACACTGCAGTAAAAATATTTTATTTCTCCATTTGTCTAATTTCAGAAGTCTGGAAACGTTCACCCACACTGGCTATTATTTTTTCACTGGCCTCTGATTTGCTGGGGCCCTAAGCACATTCCACCTTGTGGTTGATCCAGGGGCGGAGGCTGGAAATCTCTCTCCAGTCCCCACAGTAACCCTGGGAAGGGAGGCACTGCCATTTCTATCTCACAGAGGAGGAAATGGGACTTCAAGGGGGTTCAGGAACTGTCTAAAAGTCACATGGCAAATAAGGAATGAGGGTGGCATTAGAACCCAGCTCTGCCTGCCTCCAAATTCCAACACTTGCGTTCTTTCCAACACTCCTGGCTTCAGTCAAATTAAAGCAATATGGTCAAGATGAAGGCTTTTAAGTTGGGATCAGCAGCTTTTTGGCAGCACAGATGTGCCTGGCACATAGCAATGCTCAGGAAATAGCCCCTTTCCATCTTTCTGCTAGCTACCAGGCCATTGGGTCTTAGCCTCGGATTGATGGTGCCGGATGCCTGAGCCAGGGTGAAGCCATCGTCTGTCTAACTCTGCCCCCAAACCCCTCTTTTGCAGGTGAGCACATCCCCCTGGGCCCGGCCTGCCAGGAGAACTGCATGCAAATTCGGCTGCAGGCGTAGGGCACACTCTCCAGAGCCGGCAGCATGGACTTCGTCATGAAGCAGGCCCTCGGAGGTAGGCCCCAGCCCCCTGCCCCGAACCCCGACCGAGGTCCCCGCCCCGGGGGAGGCCCTCAGTGCACCAACCCCTCTGTCCCCAGCCCTGTGCCGCTGACCCCGCCCTCTGCCTCCCCAATCCACTCCCCGTAGGGGCCACCAAGGATATGGGGAAGATGCTGGGGGGAGAGGAGGAGAAGGACCCAGACGCGCAAAAGAAGGAGGAGGAGCGGCAGGAGGCGCTGCGGCAGCAGGAGGAGGAGCGTAAAGCCAAGCACGCACGCATGGAGGCCGAGCGCGAGAAGGTTCGGCAGCAGATCCGAGACAAGGTCAGCGCCGCCCACCGCCAGAGTGATTCGGGCACCCCAAACCCCGGCCCCGGGCTCCCCCGAATCCCGGCTTTCCCCTTACACCTCGCGCTTTCCGAGCCTCACTCCTCCCATCAGAAGAAAGCTGCTCACAGGAGCGCCTCCCTCAGAAGATCAAAGGGTCGCTGGGGGGCTTAGGTAAGATAACGCACATACTAAGCGCCCCCTGATGTTTGATGCTGTGGGTCCGCAGTCTAGTGCCGAAACCCTGAGACCAAACATGTTTGGGATCCAGCATGTGGGAGTTGTGGAAAGCGCCCTAGTGCCCTGAAGCACTGGTTACTGTTGGGCACCCAGTGGGCCTGCAGCTGCCACCCTCAGCCACACACTTCAGTATGTGTCTGCTGGCATCACTGGGATGAGCCAAGACTGTAAGTATCCTTCCTTCAGTCTAAATCAAGCTCTGTCACCAAAATTGACTCCAAATATATGAGACAACTTTCAGTTTTCAGATCTTGAGGGATTTCAAAAGAGCAGAGAGGTTATTAGGAGCAGGTATTAATTTTACAGGAAACCCGATGCACAGTCTTTCTGTGTTGAGCACCTGCTGAGGGCTGGCAGAATCCCGCAAAGATGACAAGATCCCCGTTTTACAGCTGGGAGGACTGAGGCTTGGGCAGTTCTCAGGAGCGGCCCACCCCGGTCTGCAAGGCCTTGAGAGCCAGCCCCCTGCTTCCCCGATTCCCGCTCACCTCTGCCCTCCCTGTCCCCAGTACGGGCTGAAGAAGAAGGAGGAGAAGGAGGCTGAGGAGAAGGCGGCCCTGGAGCAGCCCTGCGAGGGGAGCCTGACCCGGCCCAAGAAGGCCATCCCTGCGGGCTGCGGGGACGAGGAGGAGGAGGAGGAGGACAGCATCCTGGACACGGTGCTCAAGTACCTGCCTGGGCCGCTGCAGGACATGTTCAAGAAGTGACCACGCCTCCTGCCCTGTCCCCGCTCCAACNTTTTTTTTTTTTGGTTCTTTTCTTTTTGATCAGTTCAGTCTCAGTTCTGAAAGGGAAAACCTCAGTTGATCTCTGCCCCACTTCCCTGGCCAGGGGCCCCTCCCACTCACACCCCCTTCACCCCAGAGCACCCAGCCCTCCTCTTCCAAGTTGCTTGGAAAAGGGAAGAGAGCTTTCACCCCCAGCAGGGGGTGTTGAGCACAGTGAGAGAGGCACTCGGAACCCTTCCAGAAGCCTGAGGTCTGTGCTAGTGAGGTGACCCCCATACATTCCTTCATGCACCCCACTGCCAGGAGGACCACTGTCCCTAGCCAGCCAAAATAATGACACATTCCAGCCCTGCCCAGCATGCTGACCTTTGGCCTCTGGCCCCCAAGGGCCTCTGGGTCAGGGCAGGGGCATTGAGTAGCCTGGCTCTGAGCAAGGGAGTCAGGCTAAGCCTGCCCTGTGAGGGCCTAACCTGAGAGGGCTTGCTGTGCTCTGGCTGGGCCGGGGTCTGGGCAGGAGGCTGGGGCTCTCCTTCCCTCTCCCCATGACACCCAGCGTGGAAGCACCCCTCCTCCAACCCCACCCTAAGAGGGGTAGCCCCTACTAAGACAGTCCCTCCAAATGGATCCTCTTTGGACTTTAACTCATCTGTGGAGAGGCCCCAGGGTAAGGCAGCCTCCTTGTCCTCCCCATTCCGCTTAGGTCCTGGGACCCCACTGCCAGGTTGGACCCAGCTTGCCCAGCCAAGGGGCTGCCCAGGCCCCCCAGAAAATACTCGGAGCCATTGGGCAGCAATGGCCCATGCCATGGGGTCCTCTCCCCCCCATGTGCGGCCAAACTGCCCCCATTCCTATCCACCCCTCTTCCCCACCCTGTCCTGTCCATGTGCTTCCAGGGCCCCATGGTCCCCAGGAAGACCCTTCCTGGCCAAAGCCCCAAGCCTTTGGAAAGAAGCCAGTTCCCACAGACAGAAGACATCTGTCCATGCATCTCATTGGCCAAGAACAAACTCTCCTCTGGGATGTGTAAGGCTGGCATTTGTTCCCCCCACCACCAACACACACCAAATTGTCAAGGCCTTCTGCTCAGTCAGTTGTGTGAGAACTGGGGGGCCATGGAGCAAACGAAAGGCAAGTGTGTGTCCATGCACACATGAGTGTGCCTAGCAGAGACTGCATCAGCAATTGTGTGTCCAGAGGTTGTACATGTAGGTGTATGGTTAGGATGTGTGTTTATCTTCAGACTGTGTGTGTATGTCAGTCATCCCATCTGTGTGTTAGAGACTGTGTATGTTAGGCAGCCTTATGTGTGTGCTTGTTTGAGGTGGTATGTATGAGCTGAACTTGTGTTATATGTGTGTGTTAGCTATCTCATGTGTGGTAAGGATTGCATGTTTTAGCTTGTATCTACGTGTGATTTCAAAACAGCATGCATGACAGGAGTGGTGGAGAGGTGTTAGATGTTGAGAAGTGTGTGCCAAGACTGTTGTGTGCATGTGTGTGGCTCTGGGAAGGTAGTGATACAGAGGGTATGTGCCTGGGGAGAAAGAACATGGGTAACATGTCCCCTCTGGGCATTGGTCATAGGTGGCCACATCCAACAGGAGAACTTGTTCTTGGCCTAGAGTCCTCCCGCCCTTGAGGGGTTCCTGCCCAAGGTCCTCAGAAGTCCACTGGGACAGATCTGGGCAGTGCCCCAAGAAGCCATGCTGGGCCCCTACTAGGGCCCACCCCAAAAGCAGGGGCCAGGGAAGGGGCGACTTGCCTGCCCTCAAAGCCCCTGCCCCATCGGCCCCAGTTTGCATTTTGCAGGTTTTCCATTTTAGTGGATTTATGCTTTTATTTCAGAGAGAGACATGTGTCTTCTCTGTCCGTTTCCAATAGTTAAAGCCATATCAGTTAGACTGCAATACTTTAAAGACGAGACAAAACAATCCACATGTCTAGGGAACCAGAAAAATTTCCTGGTCTGTCCCTTCTCTGGGGAGCCAGGTCTCAGCAGCTCTGGCCCCCTGGACTTGCCCTTCTCCCCCGCCGCCTCCCCTGTGCCCTTGTGTCCTGCCCCCAGAGGTCTGTGTCTGTGATGGGGAGCCACCTTGCACCCCTGTTGTCTGCTTGTCTGTTTTTGTCTGTTATCCTGGGCAGGATGGTCATTCTTAGAGCCCTGGGGTCCTGATGCAGAGACAGGCAAGACCCAGTCAAGGGGTCCCAGGCCTCCCCAAGGGGTCCCTCACACTCCCCTGAGTGTGAGCCCCACCTGGACACAAGTGTTCAGAAAGGTCTCCCCCTTGACAGTGGCCTACAGAACTCAAAGGTGGTGCCAGGGCACAGAGAATGCCAAGTTGGCAGGGAAGACTGAGGCCCAGGGAACTTCAGATGAGCAGGGGAACCTAGCCATGCAAGATATGCCATGTGGGCCTGAGGGACCCCAGACCCGCAGAGAACATCCCTGGTGGTCTCCATAGCCCCTCTACACCACCAGAGTGGACTCAAGGTTTTTGCCATATGAGAGGACCCTCCAGGCTGGCTTAGTCTGGTGCACATCCTGGACTCCTCCAGTCTGCTCCAAGCAGCAGGACTGGAGGTCTCCCGGAGGCAGGAGCAGGGGGAGAATTTCAGCCTGGGGCCCACCTTGGTCACTGCCAAGTGATCACTCTCAGGTCCAGCAAACACGATGACTGTCATTCCTGACACACACTTGACTGGAGAGACGTTAATGTGTGGCCCAGAGAGAATGTCATGTGCGCCACACTCATGGCAGAGGGCAGGAGGCAGGAGGCAAAATATCTATGGGGTGCTCTAGCAGGAAAGGGATGTTCAGATGCTGCACCTGGGGCAGCAGGTGTGTGGGGCCCATTGGATGGGAGGAGGATGAGTGTGTCACACAGATGGGGCACTGCATATAACACACTTAGGAGGCGGGGACAGGGAGGGAGAGGCCTCATAATTCAAAACACACATACAATGTACAAGGGTGACATCCCAAGCTAGGGAAATAGGAAGGAGCAATCATTTGTACAGGGATGAAAACAAGGGAAATGCAGGGGAGTATGCACCTCCAGGTGGGGGCACATGTGCTTGCCACAGAAGGCCACCACCGTGCTTCTGTGCCAGAGAGAAGGGAAACGGCTTTGCTGGAGCTCCCAAGCTGGGTGCTGGTAGTGGGCCAGGATTTCCACACCTCGGTGGCCTCTGTTCCAGGTCCAGGAGCTCCTGGAAGGGTTTCTTTGGGTCTCCAAAAGCAAGCAGAAGTCAAGAGACCTTCCCAGGTGTGTGTGTGCATGCGTGCGTGTATGTAGAGGAAAGGGAAGTATTTCAGCCCAGGCCCTTCTCAGGTGGGACAGCTGATAGGCAAAGCAGCCATCCAAAGGCTTGTGGCTAGAGGACAGTGGGGCAGACCCGCAGCACCCAGTTGGCAGAGTTCCCCACCCACCCAACGGCTCCATCCTTTTAGGGTTCTGCTGGCCCTTGACTGAACGGGCTGGAAGGCAGACTGGCTCAGATGAGGGCATGTACCCCAGGCCTGAGGACATGCCTCCCTACATGTGCCCTGCTCCCCTCCACACTGCTGTTGCCCACCCTCTTCACTGGGGAGAGAATGATGCTCGTGCTGGGCCTGGGCCAGGGCTGTGGGGGTCCTAGTGAGACCCAGGTTAGGAAGACCATCCTGCTCACTGGGGGAATCCCTTTCCCATATCTGTGCTGTGTCCTTGTTGCTCTGCTTCCTTTAAATGTGTCAGTGCCTGGGGGGAGGGGAGAGGTATCCCCTCATGCCCCTGAACCTGACCAAAAGCCATGGCTGTTGCTCCCCCCTTTGTATGATGCAGATGCTAAGATGTACCAAACCAACCATGACAACAAAGAAAAGACCTTGTACAGCAGCTCTCAGTCTGTCTGTCCTCTTCTGTCCGTCAGCACTGCCAGGGCTACATGAGGTGAGGGGGGCCAACACACAGAGCTCAAGAGGCCACAGGAAACCTTCACTGTTAGACTCACTTCAGGCGAGGACACTGTGCAAATGACCCCAGAAACCAACGGAGGCCAAGTCAGTGCTGATCCCAGAGATGCAGGGCCGCTCGCCTCCTGCCCTTCAAAGCCAACTGTACAGCCAACGCCAGGAGCCAGTGTCTAGCTGGGTCACAGCATGCCACACCCCATCTCTAGCCATCTTTTACCCCAGGATCCAGGGGTGGTGTGCTGACATGCAGCTAAGGTGCGTGGTGGGCAGAGGTCTGTCACTGACCATCCTGCCAACCCTGGTGGAACCCCTGCTCCAGGAGGGGTACGGGGACACAGCATACCACCCACTGTGGCTCCTAGACCTTGATGCTTCCCAGACAGACCTTGTTAAAGAGTCAGGACCAGACCAGAACCTCCCTCCGCCCTCGGCTGCCCCCAACCATCGCCCTGCTTTTAAGCCAGGCCTCATCTCCTGCCCTCTCATCTAGACATCACCCATTCCCACACACTGACCTCCTAGCCTCTACAGCTTTCCCTCCCTGCCATCCCACCCCACCTAGAGTCACTTCACCATGTCAATCCCTGTCCATTGCCTTTCAGTGGCCTACAGGATAGCATCTGCCTACAGGGTAACATCAAAATTGTCAAAGTGACCCCATGTGATATGACCTACTGGGTTAGACCCACACCCAGCTTCATGCTCCAAGTGCCCGCAGCCCGCTCATATACCATGCTGTTCCATGTTGGCATATTCCGTTCCCTCTGCCCTCCCTGGTGTGCTCCTCTAACTATTCAAGGTCCAGCTCAGATGTCACCTGCTGTGTGAAGCCCACACCACGCAGCCCCATCCCCTCCTGCAGCGGACTTCTCTGCTGTGCGCACAACACAGAGCGCTGCAGCCATATGCTCAGACAGCGCTGGGCTTGCTGGTAGATTCTGTGACCCAGCAGAGTGATCTTGAACAAGCCACTTAACCCCTTCTGAGTGTTTGCTCACAAGTAAAATGGGATAATAATAATTGTTCCGGCCTCCACAGTTGTTGTGAGGTAAATGGGGTCC